GCCAAGTCGGCGGCCAGCGTGGCCGCGGCGGGCCCGGCGGCTGGGGCCGCCGCGCCGGCGCCTGCGCCGGCGCCGCCGGGCGGCCCGTGGAAGCAGCAGCCGCTGTCCTATGCCCAAAAGTTGCGCGAGGCGGCCTCCTCGTCGCAGCAGCACCCGCAGGCAAACGGCGTCCGCATTGCTCCCGCCCCCAAGGCCGCCGCTGGTCCCACCGCCCCCCAAGATCCGCCCCCCCACACTGCCGCCGGCGCGCCTCCGGCCGCGCCCTCGCCCGCTTCCGACCAGCCGCAACCGGCCCAGCCGCAGCCGCCCCCGCCGGCGCGCGGAGCCGGCGGCGGCGGCGCCGGGCGCCAGACGGTGCCCGCCAAGATGATCGCCGCGTGGCGCTCGGGCGTGCAGCTGCCCGGCCTGCTGAAGCAGCTGGCCGCGGAGCGCCCCGACCTGTCCACCGCGCTCAACGAGCGCGTGCGGTCGTGGCTCACGCAAGACTGCGACCGCACCACCGCGGAGGCGCTGGCTGTGTACGTGCTCTCCAACATGCGGCGCGACTGGGGCGCGACGGCGAAGACGCCGGGCGCGTTCCTGATGGGGCTGCTGCAGCACCGGGCGCAGCTGCTGCAGGGCGGCGGGCTGGCGGGGAAGCTGCTGGACCTTGCGCGCGCGCAGCCAAACGTGGCGGAGTATGTGGACTCGGATGCGATCCAGGAGCTGGGGGAGATGGAGCCGCAGCTGAGGGGGTTCGTGCTGCAGGAGTACGTGGCCAAGCAGCGCAGGTGCGCGCCTGAGGGCATGTGCTCGCGCGCCAGGCTGTGTAGGTGTGTGTGTGTGTGTGTGTGTGTGTGTGTGTGTGTGTGCGCGTGTGTGTGTGTGCGTGAGAGAGAGAGAGAGGGAGAGAGAGAGAGAGAGAGAGAGAGAGAGAGGGCGCACCTGTGCGTGTGCTCATGCGTGCGAGCTCCCATGATGTGCAGGCGCCGTAAATTGCATCAATCACAAACCTTGCGTGCTCTTCGAGCGCCCCAGCGCCGCCCCAAAATCCTTCACCCACCGCCTCACACCGCGCCGCGCCCGCGTCCCGCTCCGTATACCTCCCCAAACCCGCACCCCTTCCAGGGACTGGCCGATGGGGCTCAAGTTCCCAAGCCAGTGCATGCTCTCCTGCATGCGCACCATCCGCCACGCCGACCCCTCCGTCCACCGCGCCTACGCGAAGCTCATGGACTCGCGCCCCGACCTCGCCGGCTCCATGAACGGCGTCGTGCTCTACGGCCTCTGCAAGTGTGACCGCGGCGCGGGGCTGGCAGCTATCAAGAAGCTGAGCGAGCTGCCAGACAGCTGGACGAGCGCCGCGCGCGTCAACGCGAGCGCTTTTTTGTACCAAAAGGTCAACGAGATTGTCGGCGGCCGCTGAGGCGGCGGCTGGCGGCTTTTTCTGCGGGCGTGGCCGCTGGGGGCGTAAGAGGCATTGAGGGCCGTGCGTCGCGGCGGGCCGCGGCCATAGGTGCCACGCGTGCGGCGCGTTTGGATGCCAGGGCGGCGGCCGCGCCCGCCCCTGGTCGTGTCTTCGCAAGGGGTCTTGTTTTATGATGTCCTCCCCACTCTGTAGGATGGCTGCCGACTTTTTTATGTGTTGGGATCCCCTCGCATACTTAGCTTTTGCCTGCATGCCGGGGAACGCCGTGGTCGGAAAAAAGGAGGTGGGCCCCGTGCCACAGTGAGCGTCGACGCACGCGGCAACGTCGACCACCGCTGTGCGCCTCAAGCAAATCCCTTTCTGAATCGCTTCACGGCTCGCCTCTCCACGTGCCCGCGGCGGCCTGCACCCGCTGCCCCTCTCCGACACCCCCGCCGCAACCGCATGGGGTTCGCCGTTGACGGCCAAGGGTGCAGTACCGAGCATGCGAGGCGCCGTATATATGTGCAACCCCTGCTTTTCTACGAACCGGACTGTGACCGCCCCGGCCCTCGGGGGGCACAGCAAGGCGTTTGCAGTGAGCCGCTGGTGTCGCCCCGGCTCCTGCTGTCAAGCCGGCGCGCCTGCCTCGGCGCCAGCGAGCCGCCGGCGGCGGCGCCGGGGTTTGTACGAACACGGGCCCTTCGGATTTTGCTTTCCTTCCGGTTCCCTGATACGTTATTGCTTGAGGCAAACCTCCACTCCCTGATACGCCAAGAAATTGAGGCGGCCTCGCTTGCACCAACCCCCCCCCTGCTCCCAAACCCTGTCGCAGCACAGGTGCGCGCGCCCCGCCCGCAGCTACGGCCGATGCGCTCTCAGATCGCTTCGATTTCGCCTCGGCGGGCTCGATTTGTGCATGCCGTTCCGTGCTAGTCCCTTCGAAGTTGAGATAGTAACTTGTCATGACCGCCAGCTGCAGGCAGGCCTGTGATTACTCCTTGCCCATTCCCAAAAAGGCGTCAAAGCACTGCGGACACAAGCGGCCCGTTGGGGGGAGGGGGGCGGCGGGCGGCGCCACAGGCGGGCGAAAGCCCAAAGCAAAGGGCCGGCAGCCGCGTGTAAGCATCATCACGCGCGCCTATCTGGGCAACGGCGCCAGCGTGGCTCGGGCCCAACCGCCCAGCAGCGGCTTCGCAGTGCCTGGCACTCTCCCACGGGCAGTGGCCCCGGAGCATGTCATACGCAAGCGCAGCGTGCCCCAACCCGCATGAGCGGCGGCAGCCACCCACATCGCCACCTTCATCAGATGCAGAGCTGCCGGCAGCGTCATGCACAAAGCAGCAAAGGCAGAAGGCAGGCGCCTCGCTGCAGGCTCAGCGGGGGCGACGCGCCTCGGCGCCGGGTTCAGGGAAGGCTGCGCCCCCTGCGCCCTCTGGGGGGTTCGTTGGGCAGCCCTACTGAACAGGCAGATGAGGGATGGGACGAGACAGGACGGCGCGTGGCGTATGCTGCATGGCGGGTTGCAGTCGGTGCATGGCGCATGGGCATGGCGCATGGCGCCTAGAAACTCCAGTTGCTACGGCCTATCAGCCGTTTCAGCCACCGCCGCCCGCCCCACCCTCCTGCTCCGGCCACTCCAGCGCCGCCGCCGCGCCGGCCGCCCTGTCCCGCGGGACGCGGCCGCGCCGGTCCCGCAGGCCGCACGCGCCTGTGAACGCGGCGATAAGGAACGCGGCCACTGCGGCGTGGCCCTCTGCGGCCGCCTTGTGCAGCGCCGTCTCCCCATCTGCATCCTGCGTTAGTCCATCTGCGCCGGCGGCAACCCTGCGGATGGTTTAGGGCGCCAGCCGGGGTCAAAAAGGGGGAGGGGCCTTGCCTCAATCTGATGGGCTCGGCCGAGGAGCGCCGGGGGCTCCAGGGGCTGCCCCTGCAGCCTGCGCGCTATGGCTGGCGCCGCGCCGCGCTGCTGCACATCGAACGCTGCCCTCAGAAGCCGGCGCATGCTGCACGGGTCGCGGAGCTCGTGGCAATAAGAAACTCAGGTCAAGTTGAGGACGAGCGGGTGGATTGGGCGTGAGCAGCTACGGAGCAGCTGCCGACTCACAGGAGTTTAACAACGTCGAGGCTCCCCACGTGCGCCGCGCGGTGCAGCGGCGTCGCGCGCCCCTGCACCGTCCGCGCGTCCACGCACGCGCCGGCGCGCAGAAGCAGCGCCGCGCACTCGAGGTGGCCCGCGCGGGCGGCGTAGTGGAGCGGCGTGTAGCCGGATGTCCCTGGGCGGGCGGGCGCGGGCGAGTGCAGGCTCGAGCGCAGACAGACAGCGCCGCACTGAGACGCAATGCATGTTCACGCCGGCTCTCCGGCCATGCGGATATTCTGCTCGCCTGTTGAATTTACAAAGTCCATGCGGCATTACGAGGGGGCACCGCACCATGCATGGCGGGGCTTCCTCGCCTGCCGAGCTGTGCTGTGCTCACCCTTGCCGCCGTCGCTGTGCACCGCGTCTGGGGCGCGCTGAAGAATGCCGGCCAGCTTGTCGGCGCGGCCCGCCGCGGCGGCCTGGCAGGCGCTGCGGGCAAACTCGAGCTCGTCCAGGGTTTGGGTCGCCGTGGAAGCTGCCGAGCAGTTGCAGAGGAGGGGGTCGTGCCCGCAATCCGCGTCCCTGAGGGCGCCGCCACGGAGCGCCCATCCGAACGACGACGCCATCACGTGGCCGGGCCGCAGTCGTCTAGTGATTTACTCGCAAACTCGAGGTGTCAAACAGGATGCTCTGGCGCGCCGCTGCCCCAGCCCTCTGCCGGGGCGCGGCGCGCAACTTGCAGTGCAGCGTGTGCGACCACGGCGCACACGCTGCAGTGCTCGCCGATCGTTTTGCACTGCTGGTACCCGGGCAGCCTCGCAACCACCAGCGCGCAGATACCACCAGAGCAGGCAAGCGGTGCTGAATTCGGCGATGATGAACGCTGCACTGTCACTCCAGTGTCATTCGCCGCAACACAAGACGCGAGCAAAGCTACTTGGACGTGTGTGATTGTCAATGTTTCAAAAACTAGGAATGGCTATGAGTGGTGAATTCACGCGCTGAGTCTTTAGTCTCGTCGATCTGTGCCCGTCACGGCGGCGTTTTTGTTTGTCTCATTGCAACGCATATAATTAGCCTATCAAAAGGGCAACAATGCAGCAGCAACTGCGGGCCAGCTGCAGCTCGTCGAGCAGCAGTGCAGGCAGCGGGCGGACAAGGAGCAGGGCTAGCTGTGTAAGGGCCAGCGCCAGCAGCGCGAAGGAGGTCACGCTACTCGATTATGGAGCGGGAAACATCCGCAGCGTCCGCAACGCCATCAAGAAGCTTGGGTACACCATCAAAGATGTGCGTCGCGCGCCTGTCCGCCGCAGCGCCCCAGCCTGCCAATCATCATCATATGCTCTTTGGCCTCACTATAACGACGTTCCTTGAAATGCGCAAGCCTGTTGCAGCTGCATGCAACCAGCCGCCAGTCTCATCGATCCTGCGATGGCGCGTCACATGGCTGGCGCGTCATTGGTTGACCGCGCCTTGCCCGCACCCCCTCCACGCCGGGCTTTCAGCACTCGCTTCCCTTCCCCACACGAACTCCATCTAGGTAGAGAAGCCTTCTGACATCACTTCAGCCAGCAAGCTGATATTCCCGGGTGTTGGCAGCTTTGGACAGGCGATGTCGATCTTGAAGCAGCGGGATTATGTAAAGCCCCTCATCGACTACATCCAGGTGAGCAGCCGTTTGCCCTGGAAGCGAGAGCGCCTGGCGTGGGGCCGACTTTCGGGGTGGCCGCAACTGGCTGCGGCACAAGCGCGGCCGAATTGCGCCGCAGCCGCGCCTGCGCCGGCAACGGCGGCATTCACACCGCAGCCGCGGGCTACCCCGCGCGAGTCGTTCCGCCGCTCCCGCGCACCGGCGCCGGCACCTGCACCGCGGCTGCGCCAGGCGGCCTCCAGCCGCGCCACCCCGCGGACATCCTCGCGCCAGCCCCTCCCGCAACACGGCCGCGGCACCGCCCCTCCCCCCCCCCCCACACACACATACACATTTGCAAACAATCACACACACACATACACACACACATACACACACACACACACACACACACGCACGCACGCACGCACTGCCATCAGGAGGACAAGCCCTTCTTCGGCATCTGCCTGGGCCTGCAGCTGCTCTTCGAGGGCTCCGATGAGTCAGGCGGCGGCGAGGGCCTCGGGGTCATCCCCGGCCGCGTCCAAGAATTCGACACATCCAAGGGCCTGCCCGTGCCCCACATCGGTTGGAACACGCTCGAGCAGCGGCGCGGCAGC